GAGGTAGAATTAAAAATTTTGTACAACCGACTTCAATATAAAATAAAATGAGAATGATAATGTAGAAGTCAATTAAACACGCATTATTAAGAATTACTCCAAAACTACTAATCAAATATTAATCATATTTATATGGGACCACATGTGAAGCATCAACTTTCAAATAAAAAAAGAATCATCAAAATCGGTTCACCTAGAAAAAAGTTCTGAGATAACACAAGTAAAACTTACTGTTTGAGAACCTCCTCCTTTTCTTGAAGTCGGTTGAATAAAATGGAATGCTTCGTTACCAAGGAAAATGAGTCTCTGATTCTCTGCACTTACCATGTAAAACACAGCAGCATTAAGCTGCTATTTTACGCTGGTATTCTGTGGGAGCGTGGTCCTTCCCCGGTCAAGCCGACCTATTCGTGCTACAAATATAGTATAGCTGCTGCATGGCTCTACGACGTCACATAATTTTCAAAGGCTTAATTAAATTCCAAGGTCGATTTTCTTCATCCTAAACTTTCACAAATGCTAAATCACAGCGCAAAGTACCTTAATACGGAAAGCTATTTGCCTTTAGCGTCTTGCCTAACCTGGTAGGTGGAGGAAGCCGTGAACTAAAACATTTCTACCGTTATCTTAAGTTATTTAAGTTTTTTATCACCGAATCCTTTTAGTGGCGTAACAGTCCGCGTGAGTAGATAGATAACAACTAAAGAAAACTTTACCACATTGTCGGCTATTCAAACGGCTGCGCCCTTGTTAGATGCACTTCTATTCACCTGAGAGCTTTGTAAAATATTTTAGTTTTTAATTGTTTTATTGAACATTGAATAATATAGTAAATTTAATAGATAGCGATGCCGTTACGATTAAAAGTAAAAAGTAAAGTTACAGCCTATATACGTTCCACTGCTGGGCACAGGCCTCCCCTCATTTCTGAGCGGGTCTTAGGGCAAGGAAGTGTCCGCCGCGCTGCCCCAATGCGTATTGGCGAACTTCACATATCTTCGAACCATTTTTTTCTCTTATTCCTGAGACATGCAGGTTTTCTCACGATGTTTTCCTTCACCGCGTGGTAAATCAGCACTTAAAATTGCAAAAAGCCGTGGTAGCTCAGATGGTTAACGCTCGCTGTAAATATAACAAAACGCGAGTAACCCGGGTTCGATCCCCGCCGGCACCAATGAAATTGTTAATTGCAATTTTAAGTGCTGATTTACTGTTGCCATTATTTACAAGTTATCTCCTATCATGCTGTGATTTTATGTAAAAAGGGCAATTATAAGTAAAATAACGTAAAATTTTATTTATTTATTTGGATCTACAACAGTTGCACATATTAAATCTAAAAATAAAATAAATAAAAGTTCTAATACATGCTTTATATCTATAAATTACTATGTACTAGGAGAACACATCATTCGAAAACAATAGCAGTGTTTTTAATTTGCCTATTTTATTGGTAGTTGGAACAAAAATAAGTTTTACGAACAAAAGATAGTTAATAGTTTTTGTAACATAAATAAAAGTTAAGTTTAGCATAAAATTAGAGAACAATTAATTTTCTAAACTGTCGTTACATTTTTACATCGAAAGTGCGAGCCCGTCACAACCAATGTCCAGTGTTGCTATGTTGTTTACACATACATTGTATACGCGTGATATATACGTGTTATTGGAGCATTCTGTCCAAGTTTTGTTCGAGTAAGAAAGGAGTGGTTGGGTAGCGAGGAGGTCTCCGAGGTACAATATAAATCTGCTCGACAGCTCACTGTCATCAATTTTACAATTTTTTTAAAAGTACATAACTTTTACATATTTTTTAATATATCAAGTTTTTTTCATATTCTGACCTTGTCATTCCATTCTAAGCTATGTTCAAAACTTCAAGTGTATATCAAGTTTGTTTTTCATATTTTTAACTTGTCATTAGATTCTAAGCTATGTTCAAAACTTGAACCGTCTAGCTTAGCTTAAAATCAATTACTAAATTCGACCCGCACAGACTTACACGAAGGCAAGTTAACAAAAACGTGGTAACAAAGTTGAGCGAGTATTCAGAACCATTTAAAGAATAAGCAAGGTCTTTTAATGTTATAATTTTAAATAGTATTAATTATTTTAAACATTATTGCTAATGTTCTATGAAACTCACGGCACCTAAGCCATTAGCTACCACGGCTTTAGTAATTATAGTTTAGTTAGATTCTTTTTTAGTGTTTATAGCAGCAAATATATATGTTATTTCCTTCCTTACTATTCGTTTAAATACAAGAAATAATTCAGAAAACAACCGCACGAAACAAGTATCTGTATGGCCTATACATAATTGTTCCGACTGTGGATGTTTGTCCTTACTGTCCACGATACAGAAGAAAATCATAGTGTGAAGGTAACGTTTTTTTAAAGCAACAGAACAGTAAATGTGTATTATTACCTAAAATAAACAAACAGAATACCATATGGTCACTACAGAGGTGACACGAGTTGACCTTATTCTCGTTTGAGCCGACAACACGTTTTAATCGATATATAATGTTTGTCATACACACCGTTTTGGAATTGTTCAAGAATAATATGGTTCATTGCGTTAAGGTCGAGACCATATAGGGCCTGTCACCCCGCCGCCCTTGCTCCGGATTCCACGCTCCTGGTTAAAAGCAGACTTTATATGGTCACACGACCTGGATAGTGAAACTATAAGTGACAAATAAACATGGTAATGAAGCTGTGTTGAGGTATTTTTTATAATTAAATTTGAACGTGTTTTGCTATCCATACATCCATCAATGGCTGCATATAAAAGTCTAGTGCTGACATAGGCCTACCTCATAGATTGCCTTCGTGGGGGGGGGAGGTTTGCCATAGTTTTTTTGAGATTCATTCATTCATTCAGTTTCATTTTTCCTTTGTCGCCTCTTACGACACCCTCGGGGCGACATGGCGTTAATACGCGCCATAAGAAATCCTCTACACAGCATTTTTTTATATAGCTGTGGCCCATAGATATCTACATTTATCCGCGATTAAGAATCAAAACGCAGGAGCGTTGTCATCAAGGACTAAGACTGAATGCCTCATAACCAGTAAAAAAGGCTCTCCGGATCTCTACACTCACCATACGAAACACAGCAGTATTAAGCTGCTATTTTACGCTGATATTCTGTGAGAGCGTGGTCCTTCCCCGGTCGAGCCGACCAATTCGTGCTACAACCATAATATAGCCGCAGCGGGGCTATACCACCAGTGGGAATAGAGAGTGCACCCCATACACTTGCACTATATCCTCCATCTACCCCCACCACAATCATAACTACACTTGTTTCTTAACCTTACATACCTACACATAAACGTCCGAATATCCTAAAACTTTTACTGCTGAATTTAAAAACATAAACAAAGTACTAATCTGCCGAACTCTTTACACTCCACAAATAACTATCCGGAGTAGCATTTTAAGGTATTACTGTGCCATTACCGTTGCCGTTATAACCTATTAAAGTCCACTGAAGATTGCCTCATCCCGGGGAGGGGGTATTTTCCACGCTTAGCAAGCGAGTTAGCAACCGTTGTTTTTTTATTTATTAAAAATCAACGGTTTTGCAGTTCATATCCTGATTGGTTTCCCTCCGTCACCTCTTAAGACACCCACGAGATCATACGGAGTAGTGGACTTTTTTACACCGCCATTACACGATAACTGGTATACGGTAACACGATATTATTACTGTGCAGTTTATGTAAATTAATCTTCTTCAGTAAGGTATTCGAACCTGCGGCGCACACACATACATACAATACGGACATCATTGCAAAAATATCCAGAACAGCTTCCTAGGACCTCACGTCAAGATTTGATGAGAACTCGATTTTCAAAACTCGGGGTAAAAACAATAAATTCCCCATTTTCGAAAATCATTAGTTTCATAGCGGAAGTTAATAATCTTCAGAATGGCTAAACCAATCCTGATGAAATTTTACGAACTGGCAAAAAGCGATGTCAAGAGGCAACTAGGCTGTATTTTGTCCGAACAACATAAAGATTTAAAAAAAATAACGAAAAATTTATTAAATAACCTTTGATTAACATAAATTTAAATAACGGCACATTAATAGATCCTATCCAGGCGAATCCGCGGCGGATCATGACATTGGTAAATGTAGGTTACTGTGAATAATAAGATCTGTTATAAAATTGATGATCACCTTAAGGCCTTATATGGCCTTAAGGAAACAAAACTCTTTCTGCAATAGTGGTTTTTTTTTAATTTGAAAAATGATGACCCGCAAGGTTTCTTTTTATTTATAGGATGAGGGTGACAAACGAGCACACAGTCTACCTGATGGTAAGTGCATGCTGTGGCCCATAGACATCTACATATATCCACGATTACGAATTAAAATGCAGATGCGTTGTCACCCGTGAGGACTAAGATGTAATGCATCGTTACCAGCATAATGGATCTTCGGTTCTCTACACTCACCAAACGAAACACAGCAGCGTTAAGCTGTTATTTTACTCTGGTATTCTGTGAGCGCGTGGTCCTTCCCCGGTCGAGCCGACCCATTCGTGCTACAACTATACTACTAATATAGCTGCAACATGGCTCTACCAAACCTACCTCTTACCGGTTCTTCTCCGTAGAGGTCTTCAAACCGTTTGACTTTCATAAGTGCTTTCAACAAGCCTAAACTAAGCTGAATAAAATTTATATTTACGTTGACTTAATTTTCGACATTTTGAATATTTACAGCTACCATAGACACGTAGAACTCCCCATAGTGTAATATTCGCGTATATATAAGGAATCGGTACCTTCTGAAGTTATTTGGAAATCCAAATCACCGCTGGATTTACAAAGTGCATATTCGGCCTCAAATGGAATACTGTTCCCACCTCCTCGCTGGAGTATAATCAAATTATAAGTATAAACACATTAAAAAAGTTAATGTGTACAAAATTAAATATGATGTATACACGGTGTTCATTAACATTTCTTTGTCCACAGTATGTCTGACGGAGACGTGTCGTTGATCCGCGACGAGGACGTTCTACGTCGCATGGTAAGATGCATTTATTTCATTTTATTTTAACTCGTCTAGTAAAGTTAAGTAAAGTTACAGCCTATATACGTCCCACTGCTGGGCACAGGCCTCCTCTCATTTTTGAGAGGGTTTTTGGGCAAGGAAGTGTCCGCCACGCTGCCCCAGTGCGTGTTGGCGAACTTCACATGTCTTCGAAATATATTTTTTTAGCTATTTTCGCATGCAGGTTCTCGTACGTGTTGCCTTCACCACGAGCACGTGGCGAATCCAGAAATCGTAGAATAAAAAACCTCACGGTCCTCCGACGGGCACGGAGGTGTGCTCGCGTTTGTGAAATACAGCGGCAGCGTCTAACGCCAGTCGGCAGCTACTACGGCTACTCACTTCGTCACGTATTAACTCGTGTCGACTAGACGTATACGTGTACACTAACTGGTTTAACTACAATGGTAAGAGGGTAATACGCTGAATAACCTACACGTGTATCTGTACAAAGATATTAAAAAAATTACTCCAAAAAAAAGGCCAGAAAAAAAAACCTTTTTTTTTAGGAGGAAAAAAACTATAAGAGAAGACACGCTAAAAGTCTTACAGCCGAGGGGAGCCGGTAATGAGAGGGTTAATTTTAATAAGGAAATCTTTTTAAAAAAAAATAATAAAAATAAACAATAGGACCTATATTCGGTTTAAGTAATTTTTACACATGATGTAGATAAATAATTTTTCACTAAGCGAAGGTCGATGGGGTCATTAATATGTGCCTACAAAATAAAGAAGGCAACGTTGACACTCGTGTGAATGTTACGTTATATATTGTGTTTCAATTTGTTTAAAATAATGTATAACACACTACGGAATCTTTTCCACCTTGGTCCAAGGGTAAAAGAAGAGTGTGCAAGATATGTGTCCTAAATGACAGCCTCTCGAGTCTCGAGCCTTATCTTTAGATGTTCCTTTCTCCCACTGACATATTTTTTATGAGTAACATTGTAGAGATGATCATTCCACCAAATGTCTGTTCTAATAAAGTAGTATTACAATTTAATATAAATATTCCCGGATTGAAATAAATAAGATTTTTATTAATACATTTTTAATAGTATAATAAGACAGTTTAAATATGGAAAAAAGTTTAATTGCGTAAAAACGGTGATTTTGCTTGCAAAGTTAGCAGTAATTCTAATTAATTTATTAACGAATGTACATCTAATTTTAAGATTTACGTCCTAGAGCCATATTGCAGCTATATGCTTGTAGCACTAATGGGTCGGTAGGACCGGAGTAGACCATGCTCTCGCAGAATAGTATCTCGTAAAACCACTGTGTTTTGTATAGTGAATGTAAACAACCAGAGACCGTTTTTAATGGATACGAGGCATTGCATCTTAATCCTCAAGGGTGACGACGCATCTGCATTGTGATTCCTAATCGAGGATAAAAGTAGATGTCCATGGCCCGTAGCATCCAATTACCAGCAGATGTATTGTGTGGTCGTTTGTCACCCGTAGGAACTCTATAAAAATGTAATTTGATTGTGCAGTGGCAGCAGACGCAAGACTTTTCCCGGAAGAAAGAGATACGTGCCCACATGTATCGGCTGCGAGAGGAGCGATTGCGCAACCTCTACTCGCCTGAACCTACCGCCGATTCAAAAGGTAACTATTTTTTTTATTAGATTCATATGTCAAAGCTGACATCAGCTGTAAATGATTAAAAATGTCCTAAGTTTTAGCTTAAATTTGAAATTTCGACTATATTAAATATTTTTGGCAATTTCAATATCCAAATTTTGGAAAACAACGTTCGAAGCACTCAATATTAGGATTAAGGAATGTATAGGCAACTTTGGAGCCGCAAGTTCAGCTGGGTTGGCTCAGTTGACTTTCTACGTATAGTTAATGCTAATAGCAAACTATAAAAACTAATGTGAATGATATCTACACGTTAAGTAATATGACGTAATGTTGATTTCATTAATTAAAGAAAAAAGTAACGATAACTTAAGTCTAGGTCCAGAACAGGTTTAATACAATAGACAAATTTATCGTGATAGAGCTATGCTGCAGGTATGTTATAGTTGCAACACAAGTGAGTCGGCTCGCCGAAGAATGACCACGCTCTCACAGAATACTGGATTGAAATAGGAGCTTTATGCTGCTGTCTTCCATATCTGTCCCCAAGGGTGACAACGCATGTGCATTTTTATTCTTTATTATATGCATGTGCATTTTGATTATTTACTTTATGGGCCACAACATCCACTTACCATCAGGTGAACTGCGTGCTCGTTTGTGACGTTATTCTTTAAACACAAATCATATCCGGACTATAAACAACAGCGAAACATGATAGGTAGTAATACGCTGTTAATTTTAAAACAAGAGCAAAACCACATGACGCAGCAGTGCCGTAGGGCCTGTGGGACATACATACACATACACGCACACACACACACACACACACACACACACGCGCACACACACACACACACACACACACACACATATATATATATATATATATATATATATATATATATATATATATATATATATATTCATAAATCCCTAGCATGAGAACAAACAGCTACGCAACCAACTTAGTGGGTTTTACTTTTGGAAGATAAATTTAAATATACGAGGATGTTTCACATCATACGAAAAAACTAAACTGTTATTTTGTAGTTTAATTATCCGTTACAGACTATGATGAAATGTCCACTGCTGAACTTAGGACTCCCATATAGATTGCCTCATAGGGAGGATTTTGCCATAGTTGCCACGGTTGCCAGGCAGGTCGGCAACTACAATTTTTAATTTTTTGATTTATTAGCAAGGAGCTGCCCTTAACCTGTTTCAATTTCCCTCTGTCGGCAAGACCCACTGAACGATATGGGTTAGTAAAAGTTCTTACATCACCACTACATAGAAATACCTTATTTTGTAGTTATTGAAATTTATTTTATTACCATCTACTCATCTGTAAATATAACAGAACGCGAGTAACCCGGGTTCGATCCCCGCCGGCACCAATGAAATTGTTAATTGCAATTTTAAGTGCTGATTTACCACGTGCTCGGCGGTGAAGGAAAACATCGTGAAGAAACCTGCATGTCTGAGGAATTAAAAAAAAATATTTCGAAGACATGTGAAGTTCGTCAACACACATTTGGGCAGTGCGGCGGACACTTCGTTGCCCTAAACTCTCTCAGAAATGAGGGGAGACCTGAGCCCAGCAGTGGGACGTATATAGGCTGTAACTTTACTTTACCATCTACTCGCCGTTTCATTATCTTATTTCTAATCACTTCACTGAAGGAATATTTCCATATTATGTGAACATTGTTGTTTAAAGTTACTAGAGTAGTTTTGTCCCAAATTCGGCAGGTTGTGAGTTCACGTCATCGCAGGGACATGTGAAGTCCTTCGCGGACCAAAGCTTCCAATCCATGAAGAGCAAGGAGGTGCGCGACGCGGGCTCCCCGCCCAAGGAGTTCATGTACCGCGGCCAAGGTGCCCACTCCACGTCTACATAGGCATAACCCTAACAGAACTAACGCCTATTAACCAGTAACAAAAGCGTACCAATTGGTATCTGAATGCTAATACTCGTCCAACTTTTTTCAGATTTGAAGGAGCTTTCCAACGCTGGTTGGAACGTAGAATCAGAAAACAGAACTACAGACGATGGCCACACTCACATCAAAACCGTTCAGGCCAACATCGAAGGCAAGTACGACGTAGAAGGCGGTAAAGGACAGTTCGTAGCAATAGATCACAACAAACAAGCTGTTACCGAATACGACGACGGCAACACCAGCCTGAAGAAAAATGAGAGTTCATCTAACACTGCCGCACACGAACAAGTCGTCCGCCGACTTGACGATGGATCTCATTTCTCATCTAGCACCAGCTCATCTACTGCTACGTCAAAGTATCAGGAAATCTCCTCCACCACTCATGATGCTACGCCATTTTTAACTGAAGAGTTAGACCTAACACGACAATATTACGATAACAAACCTAACGAGGAAATGGTAATAAGAAGGATTACGAAAACGAACGACTATGAACAGAATTTAAGAAACAATTATGAACAAGGAGAACTACTTTCACGGAAGGTTGAATATCCAGATGACAACACCAAAGTAATAGTTGAGACTAGATGCCTACCTGATGGCACGAGAGTAACAAGCACTCGCCGGGAATTTCGAGCTCCAGTAGTACAAAGTTGCCGTTCAGAACATCATTCACAAAAGTCCAAAAGTGAGAGCAAGTCCACATCTCATTCAACATCAACGCAGCACTCAGATTTCAAAGAGTCTTCGTCTAAAATAATTCTTGATTCTTTTGACAACCGTAGCGATGGCATTGTTGATCATCAAAGAACTTTAGATGACTATGATTTTAAAAGAAATTATACTAATGACTATTCAGTCAATCAAATAGACGATTACGGACAAACTACACAACAGCAAAATAATAAACAAAAATATGAGACAAAAATTGATGAAGTTGATCGTCACAACGTTATATCGTCAGAAGATAAAGAAAATAACCAACGAGTAATATATCACGATGTAAAAGATCAAACGCAGTACAGAGAAGAAAATAAAGAGATAATTCATGATATAAGGAATGAAAAACAAATAATTGATGAAGTTGATCATCACAAAGTCATATCATCGGAAAATAAAAAAGTTAACGAACGCGTAATATATCAAGATGTAAAAGATCAAACGCAGTACAGAAAAGAAAATGAAGATACAGTTCATGATGTAAGGAATGAAAAACAAATAATTGATGAAGTTGATCGTTACAAAGTTATATCATCCAAAGATAAAACAGATAACCAACGCGTAATATATCACGATGTAAAAGATCAAACGAAGTACCGAAAAGAAAATAAAGAGGTGTTTCATGATGTAAGGAATGAAAAACAAATAGAGGAAAATATCGAGCGTAAAATAAGTACCGATAGATATGAAACAACATATCAATCTGATTACAACCAGAAAAAGATAAGCACAGACTGGAGTCCCTCGCACCAAGCTTGGGCTAGTAGCTTGAGATCTGATACACCAACCCGCCAGACAACAAGAGCTTCTTCGCCTGGCAGTAGAACCTTTGTATCGAGCAATTCATCCCTGAGAAGCAGTGTCAGTCCCGATAAAACCCATAGAAAACCTTCTAGCCGAGGTGGGAGTCCCACAAAAACGGATAGATCTTCCCCCATTCGTAATACATCTGAGAGATATTCAAGTACCCACTCAATGCATTCTGTAGATGAAGTAAAAGAATTTCGTCGGTCTGAAGATAAACCACCACATTCCAAATCTCCGGCCAGATCATCTTATAGTCCAGAAAAGAAAGTCCCAAATAACTATCGCCAGAAACCAAGTGTAAGTCCCGAAAAGACGTCTTCTTATTCAACTCCCAGATACCGCGATAGTCCTGATCGAAAGCCTGAGAATAAAGTTGGTTATGCTGATAATTACCCTCGAACTACGTCTCCATCGCGACAAACACAAAGAAATTACTCTCCCACAACTCCTGAACGTAAACCAAGTCATCATTCGGATGATAAACAAAGACATACTAGTAACTATCCTCGCAACATTTCTCCGGAAAGGTCAAATATTTCTGGATCATCACCAAGACAAAGCTTAAGCCCTAACAGAAAACCAGCTTATGAAAGACCTCATAACAGTCCTGATAGAAAATCTGGTTTTAAAACACATCTATCGGACGAATTGCTAAAAGATACAATATCTACATCTACGCGGTCATCTCCAAGTCCTGAAAGAAAACCAAAATACCACGCATCTGACTTAAAACCAAATCAAGACAAAAATTCGCCGTCAGCATTAAATCCTGTCCAAAAACCTAATGCAGAGAGAAATAGTGTTAGTCCCGAAACAAAACCAACTTATGACTCTATTACAAAACAAAACACTTCGAAAACCATCAGACGTAGTCCCAGCCCTGGGTCGTGTTATCAACGACCCACTACTCCTAATAATACTCCAAGTAATGACCGACGAAGTAAGAGTCCAGAAAGAAAACTAGAACATACAAATAGTAATAATGATTTTTATCCTGATAGTGAAGTGCCATCAAATTTCCCTATAGAAAAGCCTAGAGACGATAAATCGGCATATCCTGACAAAATATCTAAAGAAACACATAAAAGCATTAAAAAAGCCCCCGAAAATGATTATTCTACGAAAACACAGAATAATAACTATGAAAAACAATTACATAATAGAGATTCTGGAAGCCCAGAAAGAAACCCTCATGTTGAAATGAACAGAAAGTCACCCGTGAAACAATCTCCTACTACTTATTCCGCAACGAAACCTTATACAAAAGGCACAACAACGGTAAAAGAAGATCATTATAAGTTTATAGACGAAGAAACAAAGATGTATACTCCTACTGATAAAACAGATTCTACTAACGAAAATCATCCTTTCACTAATGTACCCGTGCAAAAGTCTCCTGTATCTAAGGGGGTAACAAAGGAGCCATCTCCGAATAAGAGTTCAATTAAATTTACAGATGATAAGTTATATGAAACAAAAATCGACCATACGACTACTGATGTTTTAAGGGAGCACAACGAAACCATTTATGCTAATAAGCGGGAACACCATACGCCAAAAAGAATTGAAATATCGCCACTTCCAAATAAAAATGTTACTTCGCCAGCGAAATTTAGTACGCCTGATAAAAAACCCCATCATGAAGAGCCTAAATCACCTACAAAACAGCATCAGCCTGTACTTTCAAACAAATCTTCTCCAAGAAACAGCGTTTCTCCTTCTAAAACATCAATACAAGATAATAAACATACATTAACTACTGATTTTATAGACATCGAAAAGTCCTCAGAGGAAGCAAATAAAAAAATAACGGATACAAGACAAGAAACAGTGAAAAGTCGATCTCGCCAACTCGTTACTCCATCTAGTAGCCCTACTAGGAAACTAAAACCGGAAAATGAACCATCAACTGGACAAAGTTCTCCTACTACTTCCGTAAGCGGATTTGTATACTTTAGTTCACCTCGTAGGGAAATTCTTGTAACAGACCTCGATGATAGTACAATTAATTCAGAATTAACTGGAACGATCACCGACATTAACGCAGTTGAAGTTACGAGACCATCGTCACCCTCAAAAATACCCTGCAGATCTCCATCTCCACAGAAGGTATCATCTCCAAGCAAGAGTAGCTTACCAAGAAAAAGTTCATTGAAGAAAACATCCTCTGAAAAAAACCAAGTGCCTTCAACAGAACAGCCCCCGTCTAGCTTCCGAGTTTCTCCAAAGTCTGATTTTCCTGAGAGCGAAGTTACACAAAATCACCCTATTAAATCGGAAAATACTGTAGTAAAACCTAAACCACCACTCGAACGACGTGAGACATATGAGGAACGTTGCCTTAAAATACTTGGCATGATGAAAGAAGATTCCTTAAAATCTGTAGAGGCAACAGTACATTCTAAGAAGCCAGATTCTAATTTGACGTCGCCCAGTATATCACCTTGCGAAAGTCCTGAACCAAACCACTCATCTTTTAAAGAACCTGTAAACAATAAGACTACTGAAGAAAATAAAAACCTCACGGACTTTTTAACTAAAGAATCGGAACATATAATTAAAACTTCCTCTTTAATTGAAATCGAGCAAACACCGAGGCATAAACCAGCAGCAGAAAATGATATAAAATTGCGTGAGCGAGAGAAAAGTCCAACCAAAACAAAAACACAACATGAAACTATCAGTTTTATTAAAGAGAAGGATAGAATAACCGACGACGTATCAGGCACCGTTAAGACATTAGTGACATCTAAGAAAGTAACTTCGAGCCATAATGATGGTACGCCTTTAGCTAAAATAAAGCCGGATAAACAAATATCAAGAGATACATCACCTACAAAGAGTCATAATTCAGATAATACGCAAAAAGCACCTGCCATAGATATTTCGCCTGGTAAGAAATTTGTTACAAACAAGCAACCAAACTTATCTAAGGACTCCTCACCGTTGCAGACTTTAGCCCCAGAAAAAACACCTTCCAGAGATACTTCGCCGACAAAACTTCGAGACATAATATCACATTCGGAGTTTAACAATATAAAGTCTAGTACCATATCTTCAAATAATGATGTTGAGAAAGAAACGAACAAAAAAATTGTCTCAAGCAAATACCCGTCATCACACAGTGTTGATTTAAAACCCAAGAATTCCGATGAAGATTCGAAGCCAGAATATTCTAGTAGTCCAACATCAAAGATACCAGGTAAGAAGGTGGATGTAGAGCACCATGAGTATGATAAAGCTAAAAAGCCTTCGTCTGACTCATTATCGAAACAGGCATATAAAATTTTCGAAAGACAAGATGTAAGCGAAGACAATGAACTGGAATCAAAACAAACCGGTCTTCAATTACCTAAAGCTCATGATAAAACAAACAGATATCCAAAAGAAGTAATACCAAACAAATATGGTAGGCCTCGTAGCCCTGATAAAAAAATTGTCCAATCAAATAACACAGAAGAGGATGAAAAGCGTAGAATTGATAAATTACCGCATTCTTTGTCTACAGTTTGTAAAACTTCTGAAGATCAGTCTAAGCTGGTATCGGTAGTCAAAGAACAAGAAAAGCAAACAAAATTGCTTACTCAAAATGTGGATGAGACCGAAGATTACACCACACAGCTTATATTATCTGAGAGAGAACAAGAAGTCATGGATAGGGTTCAAAAATCATTGAGAAAATTATCTCCTGAGCGTAAAGAAAGGGCACCTAGTAGGGAAAAAAGCCCAATGAAGACTAGCACCTGTTTACGAGACATTGATGTCAAGACTCATTATCAGGAGACACGTGAAGTACTTGAAGCAGATGAAAGTACGGAAACTATTCAAAAACGTGTCATAACAGCAAGGGACGATGATACTCGTAGAAAACCAAAATCAGATAAATCTAAAGACATAAAGGTATCCAGCAAACCTTCGTCTAGGAATGTCTCTCCAACCAAAAAGGTAACAAACATGTACAGTCCAAGAAGTGAAACACCTGATAGTGCAGGTAAACCACGAAGCACATCCCCTAAGAAACATTTAACATCAATGGAAAGGCCTAAATCGCCACAAATACAAAAAACAACTAGTGTAAAACCTAAAGAACATGTACCCTCTCAGTTAACAAGAAAACCGTCACCAATCAAAGTTGATAAAACTACTACAAATGAAATAAAGAAAACAAGCGTTACAAAACAAAACAGCTTTACTAAAACAGCAACCACAAAATCGTCAGCCACCAAGACGAATCAAAGTATTGTAAATAAAAATATTGACTTAGAAGCTAGAAGAACAACAACTTCAAAAATCTTAAACAAAGATATCACTTCGAAAAAAGATACGGGTGTTAAAGTGACACGGACAAGCAGTGACATTACACTTAAATCTAAAAAGCCTACGTTCCCACAAAAAGTTAAATCTAAACCAGAAATACAAGTAAATGACATTTCTACTTCGAAAATCAACAAGCAAATCAATATTACTAAAACTGACAAAACAGTATCAAAAGAATCGCAATCTAAGTTGCCAAGCAAACCCAAATCGGCTACTGCTTTAAACACATCCGATGATGATGATGACGTCATTATTGATGTTCAGCAAGCAAAATCTTCAAGAGAAAATTCACCGGATCGTATTTGTCCTACTCCGATAAACTTTTCTGATGATGTTGGCATCCCGAGATTCCCCGATGAAGTAAATGAACCAGATGACGACTTTCACAAAAGAACACACCATACAATTCATGAAACAGAATCAATTGTTGATGATATAGTCGAAATATGCGAAGAGGATGAATTGTTTGTCAAAAAAACCGAAGAAGAACGCGTTACAGATGCTGAACGGAGCATATTGACTGTCGATAATAAAGTGTCTAAATTTACCAAAAAACTTGAAACTATCAATAAACCCAAAGATACTACCACGCGTTTTAAACATACTGAACGAAAAGTACATTCCGACTTTATGGATGATAAGCTTACATCAGATGAGTGCTTACTTTCAGTTTCTGAAAAAGTTAATAAATTCGCTAAAGGTCCTAGCAATACAAAAGAAAGCAGAAGTCCATCACGTAACATTAAAGATGAATATGATAAGGATACAGTATATCAAGATAATTATACAAAACTTAGTGTCAACGACAAGGCCCACTTATTTATTGAAACTGCAGAAAATATAAAGGTATCTAAACCAAAAATAGCTCAGAAAATAGAGCGTCCAGATTTGAATGACGTCGATGAATCACTTAAAAGTGATGACTGCTTGCTCAGTGTTTCAGATAAAGTAAACAAATTTGTTAAAACCGCAGAACAATTTTTGAGTGAATCATGTGAAGTTGAGGAGAAAGAAAAGAAAATTAAGGAGCAGCATGATCAAATAATGAGGAAAATAATAGAAAATGTTGATTACGATTCAGATTACGAAAGCAAAAATTTAAAAATTCACGAGGAGTTTATACGAAACAAAGAACTAGAATCAAGCGACGAAATTGTACAATTGTCCCAAGATAAGCCGAAAGATATTTCGAGCCCAAATAAAAGACCTACAGAAAAAACTCCTGTTAAAATCACAACTTTACGTAGTAGTGAAGCTGTTAAAAAGGCAAAAGCACTTTTTGAAAATATTGCATCGAATAATCAAACCACTAAGGACATTAAGTCACACACTAGGGTTACTAAGTTGACGGATAGTAAGAAAACGCCGAAAGCAGACTCACGAGACTCAAAACCATATTTAGAAAACGATTCTCTAAAGGTAACTAAAGTTGACAGTGAAAAAGAGATTTCTAAAATTACTTCCAGTGAAGATTCTATTAAAAGTCCGATAAATATTCCAAAACCTACACGTGAGCATGATGATAAACCAAGGCAAAGTCCATCGCGACTTAGAAGTCATTCCCCAGATATATCAAGGAATAAGTCTCCCGTTTGGAAGTTAGCCAACACCACAACGACTGTTAATACTTCCGAAGAGGTTTCATCAAAATATCCCACATCTGAAAGATCAGAATCACCTCTACATCGACACGAACACGATATTCGTGAAAAGTCGCAAGACAAAATTCCTGGTTATCTGCGTCCAACAAAAACAAGCCAGCTAAAGGACGAAACGAAGGTAATAGAAACGACTGATGTTAGCAGTCGAAGAGGTAGTGGAAAATTTGGAGTCGAACTTCGCCGTACAAGTATTGAAAGATCTACAATAAGCAGCGAACGTCGTCGCAGTAGCGTAGACCATAATCAACCCAGTATTGAAGATATTTTCAACATTAACCTTCTAGAACAAATGGTCAGTAAAGATAATACATAAGCCTTTATTATAAGTTATGTAGTAAATCGTAACATTCTAAATTATTACTTTTTTCAGCTGGATAAGGTCGTTGGTTACGAGCAGAGGCGTCGCATCAGAGCGCAAATACGAATCGCGAAGAAAAGTCAGGAAAATAAAGACGTGACTAATTCTAACGCTATAAAAGAAACTGTCGTGACCATCACAAAAGCTCCTTCAACAGAACGGCGGCAAAGATCACACACCCCTGAATATCAGACGAGATCTACCCCTCAAAAATCTCCGGAAAGGGAATCTAAATCGTATCAGAAGATTGATTCACCTGTAAGGCAGTCTTCGCCACAAAGAGTAATTTCTTCTGAATGTGAAATAAAACCCCATATTGACAAAACTCTTTCACCAGAAAGAAAATCTCCTGATCAAAAGACTGTTTCACCAGACATAACAAAACCGAATGATCAAACGACTTTGTTTAACGGTCACACTCAAGAACCAAGCAAAATCTTAGTTGAAAAGAGACCACAGAGTCCCTCGAAACTTCCACAAAAATCCACCGCAACATCCAAAAGCCCATTACGTCCTACGAGTCCCGATAAAAAAGCAAGACCTGCCTCCCCGACAAAATCGACCAGACCTAGTACTCCGAGTAAATTAGCCAGACCTATATCTCCGCCTAAACAAGCCAGGCCTGCCTCTCCGAATAAACAAACCAGACCTGCCTCTCCAACTAAATCAGCTAGACCTGCATCTCCTACTAAATCAGGCAGACTTGCCTCTCCTACCAAGTCAGCCACGACTAAATCTACATCACATCAACTTAGCGAGTATGCTTCTGTTTACATGAAGAAGATAGGTCTTAAAACGGAAGGAGTGAAGACTTCTCCATCGAAACTCAAAAAATCCCCTGAAAATCTTGTTAAACAAGAAGAGACTGTTACACGAATAGAAGATGAAGCAGTTGAGATCGATCAAACATCAGATTCTATAAATAAAAACGTAACAGAACGTACATCATCTGAGGATGTCATAGAGATTATGCAGACTAACGGAAAGAGGTCTCCGTCTCCTCAGGAGAAACGTAGCTCAAAGCGCAGATCACAGAGTCCAGAAAAATCTCCAAGTCCGGAATCTAGGAGGCCAATACAGCAAGAGACTAAGGTTGAGAAGACAAAAGAAACCATCACTAAGACCGTGAATGATATTGGAAAAAAGGTTCCCACTAAACAGTTGCAGGAAGAAAAACCTTCATGGGTTACTAACAGGAATCTGAAGAAAGTTGCTTCTACAGCAAGAACGTATAGCAGCAAAAAAATCGAATCTGAAAAACCAAAGTACCGTGCTCCCAGTCCATCCAAAGTTATTTCAAAGCCAATCGATGTGATTACGTCTAGCTATGGGCCTGGACCTCTCGACGCGGACGGTAGACCACTCTTTGGAATAAAAGCGCTTAGAAATGGGGCTACAAACTATCAAGGTATTTATTAAATTATATATTTCATAAAACTCGTATTTTATACAGGTTCCTACTCTTCGTTTACTACACCCTCAAATAAGTTTTGATACAAGTTTTCAAAAAACTTGTAGAAGACTGGTTTTAAAGATGTCATGATATAGACTTGCATCGACATTGTTTCAAACATGTTAAGGTTCACACACAGCTGCACAACATGTATATATATAACATGCAAGTATAAACACTTTTGTGTTCACGCTTAGTCTGTGACATGATTGTTATGTTCTCGTAACACACACGAGAAATTGTTCACACTGATCCAACACCATCATGCCACAGACAAGTTTTAATTTTAATTTTAAGTATGTATTTAAAATAATTTACTGTTTTGTTTAAATACATTTATACAAAACAGTAAATTACTTACTAAAATAAAAATTATGATGTTAATGTTTTAAATTGTTAATAATTTTCTTTATTCAGTCACCCTTATTCTATAAAAAAGATGCTACTGTCCATCACTGGATGATATGGGGTTGCAGATATTCTTACCTCGCCACTACACAGCAATTTTAAAATGTTACATTAAATCTCTAACTAACAAAGATTTTATCAACATTTCAAGTGACGTTGAAACAATGCTCAACTTCTTAATAGACGCTAATGCTTAATAATAAATAATAATGTGGAATAAAGAAGAAAGATAAATCTTAATAATCTTTCTTCTTTATTCCTTTATCGGGCCTTTAAACTCCACTGCTGGCTAAATGGGGAATCGCACTGTTTTAGCGTAATAAAATCCTATCCACTGTTGCCTTGAAGACGCTCAGTTGTATTTGGACGGAAAGACAGATGCCGGCAATTTATTCCACTCCTTTGCTGTACGCAATACGAAAGACGAAACAAACCATTTGGTTCTAATGCATGAAATATTTACAACAAAGTGGTGAAATACCACCGATCGCCTGGTTGTCCCACGGTGGAAAGTAGAGGGAGGAGTAAAAGCATGTAATTCCTGCGCAAACTGTCCGAAATGCATCCTATTTACTTGAAATGAACGTAGCTTACTGTCTATCAATCTTTTTGGTCTCTGTATTCCATTAAAAACTTATAATTTTACAGTAAAGGGCACGGTGATTCGTCAAGAATATCATTCTAAGAATGGAGGAGAGCCTGTAGGCACGGTTTCCGTTACCGCTTACTCCACGGAGCCTGAGGATTTGGAGAAACTGCTACAAGACCAAGGAGAGCGACCTTCGAAGATCCACGGACTCGCCGCTATCACAACCACAAAGAAGTTTGGAGGCGATACTGGAACTACGTACAGTGAGATTCATACTGTAAGCGCGTTGCTAGATTTCATAGCATTTTACATAAAACGCCTGTATATTTTTAATAGCATTAATTTGCAGAAGTGAAGTTTTGTTTAAACTATTATTATTATATTAAATTGGAATACTTTTAACAATTATACTACAACATTTAAAGGATATTTATGGTATAGGAGGGAATAACATGTAAATTAATAGCAAAAAATAGCCTAATAAATTAAGCTTAAAAATCAAACTTTAAAGTCATAGGTTCGAATCCGCTGCTCCGAAACTACTGTCGCAAACTACCTAACACTTGCATTTTAAGCTTAATTGAAGTGAAATTGTTTTATGGAAACATTAGGTAATATGTAATGTTAATAGACTTCCTAGACATTTTACTCCATTCACCGTGTTATGGCCTTATTTAAGAATAAACTTTGTCAAAATAATTAATATTCACCTTACAGTCAAGTATCTGAAGTCGTTTATTTAGCTAGGAGAGGAGGGAGTTATCTTTATTTATTCGATCATTTATTACAGCCTATCGAAAATCCACTGATCTGATATTGAAATGCTAATCTAACCGCCAAGTATGGCGATTATGTCGAACCATATCAACTTATCAGAGATATACGACTTTTGACAGATGAATGTACATTTACATTTTATTTTCTCTCTATTATCGATACTACCTTCACCATATCGCGGAGTAAGTATAATAGGAAGTTAAACTTTTTTAGTAAGCTACAATGGCCGTATCGAATTAGCCTTTTATTTCGCAGAAAGAAGACCGCGCAGCATTGGACCAGTTTACTCACAGCGACCGACGAGTGAGTGAGTCCAAAATCGATCGCTCTTCAGAAATTAGATACGTTGAAGACACGAGAGAGAAGAAACACAGTGTAACAGAGAAGGGCAACACTTACAGCGTTGAGTGCCGTCACGAAAGGCATGATAAAGAGAACGATAGCGAATACTCCGTGAAGATCACAAGACAAGAAGAAGAAAGCGATAGCACGCAAAAATACGACCAGCAGGAGATCTCTGAAACCTACATCATGGAAAGCAGGAGAGAAGACAGTAGAAGGCAAAAGGAAACTGTAGATAGTGGCTATAGAGTTGAAATAAAAAGGCAGGAGAGAATTGGCGATGATCGGGAAACTAGACATCATGAAAAGGGAGTGGGGAACGTTCGTAAAGACAGAGTGGAGAGGATTCAAACAGTAGAGAGAGTACCGCGCAGTAAAGAAACTGGGAAATCTGAGCGAATTGTGGAAACTAAAACATCAGCCGTTCGTCGAGGCTCGGTCAAGTCACTTACGGAGAAATTCATTAAAAACGCAAGTGAGTATTATATTTTCTTAGACAAATTTTAGTCAAATAACGAAAGAAACGGTCAACGTTAAGATACGGTCAAAGGTTCATAGTCCAACTGATGGAAGGAAAAACTGGAATAGAATGAAATGGAATAAATTTTATTCAATATACATTTGAACAATACTTCATCGTCATTTAATACGCTTTAACTTGTTTTGTTTATGCTTTTACCATGATAAATATCACTGTCGCCCTTAGATACTTTTATTTCTGGTGCAAGGTTTGTTGCCACCCTAAGAACCTTACTTAACTCCTCACTTAAAACTTCGTGAAATAACTGCGCGTAGTGCTCAAAAAGACAGAATCTTAACAATAACACACAAAAACATCGAATCGGTCATGCAGTTTCGACTTTACAAAAACTCTATTATGAAGTTCGGGAAGCATTTATATACCGAGCGTACGTAACGGTCTAAACTCTGCGTAATAAATCTGCAAATGGACTTACGTAATACAAACTTACTTTTAAAACTGAATCGATTTTATAGTGCAGTTCAGTTTCAAATTGTGTTGAACGGGCAATGTACATAAGTTGTGTTCCACTGAAACTAAAACAATTAGGTTATTCGAAATATTATAAGCCGAGTTTAAGTAGTATCGGATTCTATAAAAATTTTATGTGCCACCAATATAAAGTGTATTCTATCGGTAAAGAAAAATCTGCTAAACCGGTCAACTTACCTCGAAAATATTGTGTTACGGACATTAAAAAGTACCTTGTTTGAAGTCCGTTTAAAAACGGGATATTGGCGGTGTTACTTTGTTAAAATTTTAAAAGAGCACAGGTAATAAAAAGTTTTTTGTATTTGGGCTGTAATATAAGGCAATACTTTTTTCCTCAAATCATTATCAGACTGCCAGTAGAGTCATATCCCCAAATTTATACAAAATTGACTTTGAGACACCTTATTATCACTTAAGATTGCGTTGATGTCACTGTCTTAGCAATAGAATACTATGGGTATGTTCCGAAATACAACGCAGTGTACTGTCCAATGCAAATAACGTCATGAATCGACGCTATACTGGTGATTCGTTCCAAAACATTGGACAGTATATGACGTCATACTTTTGCGCCATTTGGAAAAGTGTTGGCGATTATTTTGTCATTTTGTGCTCCAAAAATCATTATATCCTCCTAATAGATATACCATCAATTATTCTATAATTTTTTGTATTTGAATAAATAGAAACAAATTCTGGCATGCTTCATTCGGCAAACACACAATTAAAAATTGTTTTATTATGGCCGGATATCCGACACAATATGGCGGCGGCACGCTAGTACAATAAAGTATCAAATGATACGTCATTTGCATTGGACTGTACACTGCGTTGTATTTCGGAACATACCCTATAATACACTGATGAATTGAATGGCTGTCAACCTTACTTTGTAGGAGGCGCCGGGAGCACACATACAAGCAATTACGTCGTATTATCAGTTATCACTACTACAAACACATTTTAGACTTTTGATTAATGTTTTTGACACATAAATGTTTCTTTATTTTTGTTTCTAATATTCACAAAATATAAATAGTTTCGACTTAATAGTTGTAGAATATTTAAATCCTAACTTTATTTAAATTCCATTTCCCGCTGTTCTTTCAACACGTAAATATTGCACAAATTGCCATTTTTTTTAAATTTGCATGCAGCAACGCTTGACACGAAAATTGGAAACGATTGATTATGTTGACATTTATACATGTGAATTGACGTGTTAGTGATATATTATAGTATTCTATGGTCTTAGCAAATTTACTGAGCTAAAATATGTAATGTGAAACAGTCAATATGAAATTGACGCTTCGAGCTATGTAAAAATGCCACCGCATATTAATAAAGATATATAATTTTAAGTCATTTATTCAATATTATATATAGGATTTAATAAAACGATAGAATAGGTCATCCAATTTTATGGCTTTTGTGTCCGATTGGTTAATTGATATCCCTCATTAACAAATAAATATATAATATTATTTTAAATTTCTACTTTTGGTTAACGGTCGACACTTACCACCAGATGAGCCGCATGCTCATTTGCCCCAGATCCACCAGACCAGATTTTGGTGGAGTTTTCATAGGACTTCAAAAAAAAATCCACATAATTCAAATAGCTTCCGAACTCGGGGCAATTTTCTTCTTCATCATCATCATCTCTAAGGAATGTTGTCCTAAGCCACCAGTTTTCATCTTTAGTTTGCATTTTTATCAGACCTTTACTACACATAGTCGGAGCCGCCATAAACTTCGCTTACGGGTAATAAATAGGCTGCCACTTTAGAACCATTCTTTGACACTTGGATTCAGATGTTACTACATTATGCGAAAGTATTTAATCCGTTATAGTTTTGTTAGTCTTTTTTTTTTTCAAGTTAAATTTTTTTCGCCTTTTGAGTGTACTAATTAATCAATATTACATAATAACTTTAAATGATTTGTTAACATTTTCATTAAATTTCATCTCCTGCCTTTATACGAGAATTTTTTTCTTGAAATTAAATGTGGTCATTTGTGTGTCATTTGAGGTACCTATAGCCTATTTAATACAAAAGGGAATCACTACAATCGTTTCAAAATTAGTGAAGATCCCGTGTCCTTCAGACCTTCCTTTTTGAACCTTTTTTAAAGTCGAATAATAATCAACTATAATAGACCATCTGTCTTAGCCCTTATTAGTATAAATACTTATAGATAATTCGTAAAAGGTATCTACAGGCATTAATAAGTGTATGGCTTAGGTGAAACCAGCAAGAGCGAGCGTAGCGCGTACCCGAAGGCGGGACTCATCCTGCGCAGCAGTGGACTGAAAGACTCCGTCTCCAGCGACTCCTCAGCGCACGCTGGTAAGTTATTCTTTTATCACTGGATGCTATCACAAGCTCAAGACTGTTATCAACTTTCTAGCAATAATTTTGGATTCATTCTGTAATTATTATTTTTTCACCTGGTAGAGCCATGCTACAGCTATATTACTATCTAGTATAGTTGTAGCACGAATCGATCGGCTCGACCGGGGAAGGACCACGCTCTCACAGAATACCAGCGTAAAATAGCAGCTTAATGCTGCTGTGTTTCGTATGGTGAGTATGTACCGGAGAATCTTTTTACTGGAAATGAGGCATTCCGTCTTAGTCCTCACGGGTGACAACGCGTCTGCATTTTGATTCGTAATCGAGGATAGATGTCTTTGGGCCACAGCAACCTCCATCAGGTGCACTGTGTGCTCGTTTATCCCCCTATACTATAAAAAAAATTGTATTACAAGGTGGTTTTGGAATTGTAAATGTTTGACCGCATCTATTAAATACCTTTGATAGCTAGTTGTTGAAAAAAAATGCCATTTACGCGCGCTCTAGAATACTCTAGATGCTGATACAGTACGGCGGCGTGCGGTTTGAACGCGTGCTAGTGAGTGCTATTGCGAGTGTAGAGAACTGGAGACCCTTTTTACTGGAAACGGGGCATTCCATCCCTCCTTAATCCTCACAGGTGACAACACATCTGCATTTTGACTCGTAATCGAGAATAGATGTAGATGTAAGTATATGGCTCACAGCAACTACTTACCATCGGGTGGATTGTGTGCTCGTTTGTCACCCTATCCTATAAAAAAACGCTGCAGCTATATTATTATGGTTCAAGTACGAATGGGTCGACTCGAAGGACCATACTCTCTCACAATGCCAGCGTAAAATACACGTTATAAGACATGAATAACTATTTTGAAATTTTTGTCTGTTTTCTAAACGTCATGGTGGTGATAGGTTACATAAAATCTGGCGGGACCTGAATGGTTCCCTAGTTAAAAATATAACTATGTCAACGGTTATCCTCCAAACTTTTTATGTGCATCACTTACGTCATACGATCATTGACCTCAAACTGAATGTTAGACACCAGAATATATCGGAGTGCCGTGAGACCTTTTTTACCACAACAATGAGAATCCGTACATAATGACAAACATTTGGATAAACACCATTGTTGACAAGACGTAAGTTCAATTGTTTGCGTCATAAATGTGAATTACTAAACAACATTTAACTGATTTGACTCGAATACTTGGAAGTAGACGCCTGTGCAGATCTTAGATTTTTTAAAGTATTCTACATAAAATCTTTTGAAAATTGTAAATGCAAATTTATCAAGCGTGACATTATTCGCAGATTACGGTCAGCTGCCTTAACATTATAGTGGTTTAGACCTAATATCTACTTGCTTTCATTATTCATCATAGAATTTTGTAGATTTCAAAGACGTTATGAATTTAGTTTTTTGTTTTACTGTCAGCCTGTTACAATTAAAAAAAAATAGGTCTAATTATGACTTAAACCGCATTCAATATAGGTCTAATATTGTTAATTAAATAGTCATAGTAATAGCGTGCGTGTGCGTGTGCGTGTGCGTGTGCGTGTGCGTGTGCGTGCGTGTGCGTGTGCGTGTGCGTGTGCGTGTGCGTGTGCGTGTGCGTGTGCGTGTGCGTGTGCGTGTGCGGTGTGCGTGTGCGTGTGCGTGTGCGTGTGTGTGTGTGTGTGTGTGTGTGTGTGTGTGTGTGTGTGTGTGTGTGTGTGTGTGTGTGTGTGTGTGTGTGTGCGAGCCTGCGTGTGTACATGTGTGTATTTCAAATGTAATACGTATGCATATGAAATTTCAAACAACTAAAGAAAGATAGATGATGCGATGCGTACATTTAAATTGACGCGAACCATGCTGAATTTCTTGACGTGCACTTACGCAAACCCGCCTTTCTTCCTGCTTTCTTTATAAACCCTTAGCCGGGCTCAATGCTGGTCGCATACATTTGTACCTCGAACTATGTTGTTGATTACAAACGATTTTAGATGCAAAAATATGTACGTGAATGGTGCTGTTACAATGAGCTGAGCAAGATTTTGGCTTGGTTTTGCGTTTAGTTTGTCTTTTCTTCGTCGATCTGTGTATGTGATATATAGATATACGAGTATAATACTAAACCATTTGAAACAGCAGCATTTACCTGCTATGTTACGCTGATATTCTGTGTGAGATTCCAGTCGAGCCGATCCATTCATGTAGCAGCCATAAAATAGCTAGATCTCGGCTTTACCACGTAAAAATAAATTCTTACTTTTCTTTAATCATGGAAATTCTATTTTTTTTTTTGATCTCATAAGGTCTAACGCGGACAGACAGCGAGCAAAGCCTGGGGTCCGGTGACGACAACGTGATTACAACTACTACCACCACCACGACGACAACACGGCGGCAGGACATGGGCGATGGCGATACCAGCACTACGCATACCCGCACCAGCAACGAACGCTCGTTCCTCGACAGCAACACCAAGGTCACCGGCGTGCAGGACATTCTCACCAGGATGAAGAACGCTGACATCGGTAAGTATTTTTTTTAGAGTAAGTGTGACAAACAAGCATAATCTACCTAATGGTAAGTTGATGCTGTGACCCATATACATTTACATCAGCTCGATTAATAATCAAAATACAGATGTGTTGGCACCCCTGAAGACTAAGATGGAACGCCTCGTTTCCTGTAAAAAGGGGTCTCTTGTGCTCTACACTCAACCAATTGTAATGAAACTTGACGAAACGAAACACACTAGCATTAAACTGCTATTTTACGCTGGTATTTTGTGAGAACGTGGTCGTTTCCCGGTTGAGCCGGCCCATTCGTGCTACAACCATAATATAGCTGCAAAATGACTCTACCACGTAAAAAATAAAAGGAGAAGGAGACGTATATAAATAAAATGACTTTTAATAAAAACAACATGTAATCTATATTGAATAATAAAACATTCTATTCTTTTCTATAATGGTGCGTTCTCCGCAGTGGTGGAGGAAAGCGACAGCTGCGAGGACGCTGAGGCGCGTGCGCTGCTCAACAAGTTCCTCGGAGCCAGCGTGCTGATGGCCGGCATGCAGGGCTACGTCACCGAGCAGCCCACCGGCAAGGTCATCGTCAAGCAGGTCAGTCAATCATAATCTTTTTTATCATACCTTAATCGAAAATTCGTTTTTCGACCCTACTTTCAGGGTCGAAAGGTCACATTGTCTCCCGATTCAATGACAAATTTCTAGCTCTAGTTTTTGAACGTCAAAAGTATGTGTCATGAATCATGATACATTTTAACTTCACAGTGATTTGTTTATTTAGTACGCATGCGTCAAATTTCTAGCTCTACTGTTTGAAAACGTCAGCAGTGTATGTCACAAATCATGATACATTTTAACCTCGATATGATTGGTTTATTTAGTACGCATGCGTCAAATTTCTAGCTGTATAGTTTTTAAACGTCAAAAGTATAAGTCACGATACTTTGAGAATAGATTATATTACTTGAATTTAAATCGAACTTTCGAGCCTAGTCTGATAAAAAATATATATACGCAATTCGGGATAAAACTATGACATCGCAACCAGCATTCTTATCACCCTCGCGTTCGGCTCGGTTGACAATACCACTCGGGTTGAAATGTCATACTTCACTCCCTAGTGGCGCTTTTTTTCTTAATGCTCATCATCATTCATATGACCAAAGTACGTTGATGTGTTGCAATTTTTTTGTCGGAATGTCATTCTGTGAGGGATCTTTTTGGCGATTTAATTATAATTCTCTGTTCCGAGTTTGGTCTTATGAGGGAATAAAAGGTCCACCGTAGGGAGGAGCTATTACAATCCTAGGAGCTATTTGTACGTAACATTATTTCAATTATGGTATTACACACTCACCAAACAAACATCCAGATGCTGTGGATGATATCATGTATACCATGAGGATATTTGGCAGTCCACCATTATGCGATTTACTACTAGGAGTTTTCTTCCTTGGACGACTTTTTTGTAGAGTCTGCGACGATTACTACTAAGTCGCACGATTTCGCCGTCGATTCGTGCGATGTGTGAAGTGCACTACTTCACACATCGCACTTAGTTCCGTTAGGACTACTTCTACAAAGAACTGCAAGGAACTGGCGATTATCCCAGACTGATACCATACGAGGTTCTTAAACCTTGAAGATAAGATATTACTCCTTTTCAAAAAGCCTGCAATGCACCTGTTGTTGGCGTTATTGATGGACGGCGGTCGACACATACCATCAAATAAGACTCGTACTCGTTTACCTCTCCTACAAATAAATACTTAAATACCTAGTACAAATCATCTGTTTTTAATTAAATTTACTTTTAATTGAATTCAGTTTAGAAAAGTTTATATGTGGTAGAACTGCAGCTTTATTATGGTTTCAGCAGGAATAAGTCGGCTCGACCGGTAGAACCACGCTCTGATAGAATACCAACGTAAAATAACGGCTTAATGCTGCTGTGTTTAGTATGGGGAGTGTAGAGGACCGGAAGGGTGACAACGCATGTGCATTTTATTTTTTAATCGAGAAATATAGTTGTCTATGGGACACAGCATCGACTTACCATCAAATAAACTTTGTATTCCTTTGTCCTTATTGTTTTAAAAAAATCATTTATATAAGTTTAAAAAAATAAAATGTACCCGTATTGCTTAGTTGAAGTGTTTACAATGAAATAAATTATACGTCTTAGAACATACAGAGTCAATGTCCAAACTATAATTATATTCACATCAGTACACAATACAAACACAAACTTGGCTCGCCACCAACCGAGGAAATGTTGGTCGTTATGAACGTAAGACTGCACGTTTCAAGTGCCTTAATTGGCGCGTGATTTCATAAAATATTTTTGAAGCTTATGCTAATGTTGTTTTTGAAAAAGTTATTTATTCAACTTTATTTAATACGAAATAATCTTCATGTAGATTATCGTGTAACTTTTTTTTAAATGTATTAAAAGTCAGTGCTAGACCACAGCTGGTAGTAAGTGACGACGAGACCCTAGCTGGTATATCGCACTGTTTTATAGCAGCTTATTCATTCTTGCCTTGAAGACGCTTAGATTATTTGCAGACGGAAAGACAGGCGCCACTCCTTTCCTGTACATATTACAAAAGACGAAGCAAGTTGTTTAGTTATAATGCGTAGAATCTCGACTGCAAAGGGGTGGAGACCCGTTGACCTCCTGATTGTCCGATTGTGAAAAGTAGAGGGCGTAATTAAAGCATGTAATTCCTACGCACACTCTCCGAAATATATCGTAAAGAATACCGAGTGGCTGGCTACTCTGTTCCTGTGCTCGAGGCTGACAAGATTGGTTTCAACCAAATCAAGGTTACTAATGAGCCTCTTAGCATGTCTCTCCACTGAGTCCAACGCTACTTGGTGGCATTTTGCAGCAACAGCCTACTTATGGAGTGTAGAAGCAACGAGTACCAACTCCAATAGTAGAATAGTTGAAAAAGTGACCATCTGTAAGTAGTAAATAACAGCTCAAAAACTCTCCACAACAGCGCTGGAGTAGCTACTGGGATGAAATGAACTTAGCAGTTGTCGACGGTTCAAGTATGCTGCTCAGTAGCTCTAAAATCTAAAATAATTTTATTTAGTAAATATAACCTCGAAAAAGTCGTCTATCCCACTAATATTTTTCGGTCCGTTCTTTAAAGTATACCCCGTAGTTATAGTGGCGCCACCCTTATTTAACGGTTTTCTATGGACACTTTTTAATACACAGTCTGTACTCCTTACTTCTACACTCCATAATCCTACTACTACCCGGCAGTCACAGCTGTCATTCTGATGTGACTAGTGCCGGAACATTAAATCGATATATCGATAAAATATTCATGAATATTATTAAAAGTATACACCCAATACATATTTTAAGCAAGTATTTAAACATTGGGACTCATTTTGGGTAAATAAAAAAAATTTACATAGAAGACAAAAAAACTCAACAAACAAAACCCACTATAATGATTACTTCAAATTACCTCCAATAAACAAAGAAAGCTACAGATAAAATAGAATAAGGTTAAACGGCACACAAACACAGATAATCTAATAAGGATGCTTCACTTAATCATCTGATCTCAAAGAATCTATAAATAAGTAAAATCTTGACCTATAGATCTAGAAAGAATAAAACACAGATCCCCTAGGATAAGAGATGCCTCGTTTCCAGTAAAAAAGGGTCTTAGTATCTCTACACTCACCATACAAAACACAGCAGTAATAAGCTGCTATTTTACGCCGGTATTCTGTGATGGTCCTTCCTCGGTCGAGCTGACCCATTCGTGCTGCAACCATAATATAGCTGCAGCGTGGCTCTAGCACGTATAAATAAATACAAAATGCAGATACGCTGTCGAAAAAATGCGTTGATTAAGGATTAAGATCGAATGGATGGAATGACAGCTTCTAATTATACTGGATCTATGTCCCTTTTAATACGACTAAATTCATATTACGAGTTTTTCGTCAGAATGAGCGTTGCGTTCGTCTCTTTTTTCAATGGTATCTTAATTAAGGACACTTATTAAGAGAAAACATTGAGCTATTATGTACTACGTACTAGAGGCGACACTGCATTCAGCTACACTGTTCCACTCAACTGCGGTGCATATACCGCACTTTAATCAGCCACTCGCTAGGCGCTTGTAGAGTTGTCACGTATTGTGTTGAGTTAAAAAAAAATCTCTTGATAAAAATATGCCGTCGATTGTACTTAGATATTGCACAAATAATTAAAGAAATGTCAGTAAAAACCAAGGAATTACTTTTCATCGGTTAATAAGATACTTAATCAATAAAAAGAGTATTAAGAATTAATAATAAAACAAATTATTCTTAAGACGCCATCTCGTGTCATGGAATATAGATTATGAAATTAATATGTTCACATGCGACATTTCTGTAGGTACTTAACTATAGGACGAATATATTATTATACACATTTTTTGTAGAAACATATATAAGTTATTATAATTAGGCTAAATTTTTCGTGTTTAAATCTGCTTAGTATTCTTTTATTTTATTTTTAGGTTTCCACATCAAAGTCAAAGTGGAATAAATTCGTCCATTTTTAACTCTCGCGTGCCCAGCATTTAATGAACGACTCTTATTCTAATTTAAATAAATATATTTGTAATTTAAATGTTATGTTAATAAGTTTTGTTAAACATACATTCAGTATGTTTTTTTATTTTATATATATATATTTGACATAGATACTTTTTAAAATATTCACATAAAAATCATTAAATATATTGAAATAAAATTGTGATATAATATTATGTAATATTATATTAAATAAGCAAATATAATATACAAAATAAATGACAAAATTTAAATATTGTTCTCGATAAAATTTACCAATTTAACAATACAATCTACTATTACCTACGGGTCATCCTACCTATGTTTATTCTATGATAAAAAAACAACCGCGCGAACACAGAGTAGCGCACATTTTTTGTTTGAGATATCTGTTCTAGTACGTAAGTACATATTACTTCAATGAGAGAAAATTAACAATTTAAAGAACTTATTTCTTTGGGTTAGAATATTGACGTATATGAATTGCGTGCCATTTTATTACAAAATAAATATCAATTTTATTACAAAGTAAATTTCACAGTACGCCAGCAACACGGCTTCAATCCCCGCTGGGACCTATCAAGTTGTTAATTTCAATTTTAAAGGACTGATATATCACGTGCTCGACCTTGAAAGAAATATAGTTAGGAACATCGATATATATGTACTACGTACTTATAACTCAATGGTTAGGAAACATGCAATTATGAGAAATTAAAAAAATTCAAGACTTCACAGTAACTTATTACAGTGTAAGAGTATCTACTACTCCCATATCATCCCGTTGGTGTCGTAAGAGGCGAAAACGGGAAAAAATCGGGAAATGGGCAGCAGCGTCTTCCTAATGACGACTAAAAATAAAAACTACGGTTGCCAACCGCTTGCCAAGTGTGGCAACTATGGCAATTAACCCCCGTATAAAACTTTGCTTTACTTTAAATACAGCTATAAAAATACATACATAAACGTTAACACAATTGCATCTAGCGCAGTGCCGC